TAAAATTATTAAAATGTCATTGTGCCACATCCCATGTAAGCGTTGTGTAACATTTTTTTCCTTTACAAGCTATACAATGAGGTCATACTTTCAGTATAACACAGTGACAAGTTCTTCTTCTGCCAAAACAATCATTGTATTAATTAAAGACCAAAGAGGCTGGGCATTAATCAAGCGTCTCTTTTAAAAACTACATGTTTCGAAGAACTTCATTTATTTACTACTGTAGTTTCATAATTATTCGTGGAACACCAATTTTTGTGGATTTCGTTGTTGAGTCGATCCACGAAATAAAATGTTCATCGAAGTTTGGTGCCTCCATTTTTATTTATGACAAACCTTTAAAAAACCTATTACGGCTGTCGTTAAACAACACGCTGTGCTTGTGAAATATGTTTCCAACACCATTTTGTAAATTTAAGTACTTAATAACTTTTCTTAAAAGTATTCTTTTTTAATACCCTGTTGCCACAATTATCGTCAGTATGCAACGTACTATTAACATTGTATATGGCGTGAAGATTCCAGTTGAAGCATACGGAGAGTAAAAAAAAAAATGAAAAGGTGACAATTTTTTTGTATGATCATTATCAACGAATTTACGCATCCTCGAAACAGTGATTTTTATTAAATCCACGAATATTAATGAAACCACAGTATGCTGCTAATAAAGCACACATCTGGTTATGAAAACATTTGAAAAGAAAAGAAATGCTTTTACCTTAGTTTCAATTCAAACAAAACCAGAAGTCTCTGTCGAGACTTTAGCTCTACTGGTTTGTACTTATAACAAAGGAAGAGAAAAGTAGCACTTGGACTTGCAACAGCAATGAATTAATAATAATCCTTGTTTTACTCTCTTTTTGTTGCAAGATGAATTGCAATCAGACTAAAACTGTAGAAAGAGTAGCCTTTTAAAAGAATTTTAGAGAAATTTTGAAACTAGTTACCATGGCAACATCATTCAATAAAGACTATTATGTATCTCAGTGTAGTCTACTTGCATGCCATGTTATATTAAAATCAGACCAAACTGTAGGCGAAGTAATATTTTGTTTGTTGTTTAACGTCCCTCTCAAGAATTTTTCACTCATATGGAGACGCCACCACTTGCCGGTGGAGAGCTGCAAATTTTGACCTATGCTAGGTACTCAGGGCCATAGAGCATTAAGAGATCTTTTTCGTGCCAGCACCTACTCCGACATGGGACCCTGGTTTATAAGGTCTCACCCGAAGGACCGGTCTCCATGTCCCACAGTGGGATTCGAACCCGCGACGTAAGGATCAATTCCTTACTCTGCGATTCTAGAGCAAACGTTCTACCACTGCGCCACGTGGGTGACAAATAATGTTTTGAAAGTATGTCAAAGAAATTTCAGCTTTTTTGTAACCATGGCAACACTTCACAAAAATCAAAAAATGGATATACAGAATTATGTATCTCAGTGTAATCTACTCGTGTGCCAAGTTATATTGAAATCAGACCAAAACTGTAGGAGGAGTAGCATTTTTAATGTATTTCACAGAAATTTCTATTTTTAGTAACCATGGCAACACCATTCATCGAAATCAAAATCTGATAAAGAGAATAATGTATCTTTGTGTAGTCTACTTATGTGCCAATTTATATTGAAATCAGACCAAAACTGTCGGAGAAGTAGCATTTTGAAAGTATTTCACAGAAATTTCTATTTTTAGTAACCATGGCAACACCATTCATCGAAATCAAAAACTGATAAACAGAATAATGTATCTTTGTGTAGTCTACTTATGTGCCAATTTATATTGAAATCAGACCAAAACTGTAGGAGGAGTAGCATTTTGAAAGTGTTTCACAGAAATTTCTATTTTTAGTAACCATGGCAACACCATTCATCGAAATCAAAAACTGATAAACAAAATAATGTATCTTTGTGTAGTCTACTTATGTGCCAATTTATATTGAAATCAGACCAAAACTGTAGGAGAAGTAGCATTTTGAAAGTGTTTCACAGAAATTTCTATTTTTAGTAACCATGGCAACACCATTCATCGAAATCAAAATCTGATAAAGAGAATAATGTATCTTTGTGTGGTCTACTTATGTGCCAATTTATATTGAAATCAGACCAAAACTGTAGGAGAAGTAGCATTTTGAAAGTATTTCACAGAAATTTCTATTTTTAGTAACCATGGCAACACCATTAATCGAAATCAAAAACTGATATACAGAATAGTGTATCTTTGTGTAGTCTACCTATGTGCCAATTTATACTGAAATCAGACCAAAACTGTCGGAGAAGTAGCATTTTGAAAGTATTCACAGAAATTTCTATTCTTAGTAACCATGGCCACATCGTTCACCGAAATAAAAAACCGATATAAAGAATTATGTATCTTAGTGTAGTGTACTTGTGTGCTAAGTTATATTGAAATCAGACCAAAACTGTAGGAGAATTTTGAAAGTATTCACAGAAATTTCTATTCTTAGTAACCATGGCAACACCGTTCATCGAAATCAAAAACCGATACACAGAATTTTGTACATGTATCTTAGTGTAATATACTTGTGTGCCAAGTTATATTGAAATCAGACCAAAACTGTAGGAGGAGTAGCATTTTGAAAAATTGTTTACAGACAGACAGACGGACAGACAGACAAATAGACGGACGACGGACAACTTACTATCGCATAAGCTCTTCTGGTCCAGGGATCGACATTAACGGTTGTCCGATTGCCCGGGACAAGTAAATTCTCAGTTTCGGGCAAGTGAAATTGTCGACATACTTATGTACATATTTATTTAGTTTACATTAATTTATAAATAAAACAATAAATTGAACACCTGACTGACAATGTTTTGCATTCGAAATATCTTGGTAGCGTTTCTGGATTATACCGTTCATATAAAAATCGAATTTGTTGTTTTCTTTCGTAGGAAATACACTCTACGTCTAACAAAATTTTGTTAACTTCTTATTATGAAATTAGATTATTCACGCACAGAATATAAGTACAGTGTAACACGTTGTATCCTGATCAAGGTAAGATGTATGTTTCGTAGCAACTATCTTCCTTAAGCGTTGCTTCACAGTTATCGCTAAAAATCACGAATCACAAAATGATCCTACCGCAATTAATTTTCAAAAATATGATTTTTTTTAAAAAAGGAAACGGAGGGTTATTGCTGCATGGCAGTGTATGTTAACAGGTTAAATTTACAAGTACAGCGGTATACATTTATGTACAAATGCAGGATCGAAATTGTTTCAGGTACCCGGTAGCTCAACTTGCCAAATTGACAGTAGTGTATTTCGTCACATTTTTTTTCTTTTCATAACGTTTGCAGTAATTAATAATTTCGTCTTAAGTTCCATCCTAATTTTGGGCAACCAAGTTTTGCATTCGGACAAGTCAAAGTTTGAGATCACTTGCCCGAAGGGAAAGTGAATCTGAAAGTTAATGTCTATCCCTGCTGGTCTCTGACCAGTAAAGCTAATAAAAAGGGATAGGAGTACACTAAAACTCGCATTATTCTGTCCTTATAGAAATGTTATATACACGAGGAGATTGAAACTGTAATTGTTTATCAAATATTTCCTCCAAAAATGAAATTATTAATTATATATTAGCAGACCTATTTTTGTATTCATATGAAGCAGAATTTATTCAAAAACTTCTACATGAGAAGAAGAGAACACTTGCTATGGCCTTCAACTCGACATGTCGATATTTTCAAATAATAATAGTAACATTCATTCATATGTCGACTTGATTTATCCCAGTGAGCTTGAAATAAAAGATACCACAGATTCTCACACATCTGTTTCATATTTAGATATTTTTATAAAAAAGACGTTAATGGTAACCTAACAACAAAGCTTTATGATCAACGTGATGACTTCAACTTTTCAGTCGTCAACTTCCCTTACTTATGTAACAATATACCCTTATCACCTGCATATGGGGTTTTTGTTTCTCAGTTGATTCGATACGCAAGAGCATGCTCTGCATATGAACAATTTCTAAGACGAGGCAAGTTATTGACAAACAAGTTCACGAAACAAGGATATGAAAAGTCTCGTTTGAAGACATCTTTTCGCAAGTTTTTTGGTCGATACAATGACCTTGTCAGCACATACAACCTATCATTGAGTCAAATGCTGACTGACGTTTTTCATACTAGTTGATAGGCCAATATTTATACACTGAACTGTTTACGGATTTTTCCGGGTTTTGTTTCCCGATCATGACGAAGAGCACACGGTGGGTGTGACCGGTCGGCAAGTGATGCTCACTCCTTCATGGCACCTGATCCCACCTCTAAATTTTGAGGACAGTGTTTGCTCTGCTCCAAATTTGTATCGTTTCATTGGACTTTGGAGATTGAATACTGTTCGTTATCTTCATATTTCATTCTTACATCAGTGAATTAAAGAAGACAAAAGATACTGCATCGGATAAAAGTTCAATTCTTTCATGATCTTTTTCTTCAAATGAATACTTACATGTATCTGTTCCTTGTCACTGTTTGTGTTCTATTGCGTATCAACCCCTCTGTGACGGAGAAGCTAACGGAAGTAAAATATACACGATGTACAAGTGTAAGTGACCTACCATGGTATGCTGAAATTAGATGTACAGCAATGAACATATTGAAATCGAGGTTAGTATACTCAGAGGAACATTATATTGTCAGCTAGTTTGTTTAAATGATGTTGTAATAATGATGTAATTATTATGCTATTGTTTTAAGGGAATAATTGCTATTGTACATGCATATGGTATCATTTTCATATACTATGCGCCACACAATTTGTACTTAGAACAAAGAATAATTATAATAGATGTAAGAAGCAAAGATTTTTAAGGGTTTTATTTTTACTCATTTAGTTTATACTTTTTCTTCAATAAATACCGCATAGGGTTTCTTAATTTTCTTTTAGTTTTGATTTGTATATTAATTTTTCATTGTACGAAATACAATACATATGCACAAAGAAACTGTTTTAATTTCTCATTGAATATACTTGTTCAAATAATTAACCCATGTCCGGTGATATAGATCTTTGAGGAACAATTACATCCTAATCATGCAAATCACAGTTTAATAAATTATTCATCTACAAATTGTTGGAAAATCTGCTTGACATTAAAAGAAAAGTTGTTCAAGTTTTGAAGATATTTATTGAAATAGTTGTTTTATTTGTATTCAACAAGAATATTGTAAATTAGAATTATATTTCATTGTTACATAAAATTGTTTGTTTATTTATTATGATTGTTCATTTTCCTATTTATACATGCAGAATCTTTCAATGTAATGAGTGATATAATACATGTATGTTGCATATTTGATACTGTACAGGTTTCATGAATAAATTCAAGTCGATTATTTTTCATATATTTATTTTATTATCTTGTATAACATTGCATAAACATCGACATTACAATTCCATTTTTTTAAAAAAACAACAATCAAACAATTAAATCATATCCCTATATACATTGTATATAACTATACCCTGGTCTGTGTTAGCTGTCTCTGTTATCTGGAAAGAAAAAGGATTAATTTATTGATTATACATTGTGTATATACATGTACATGTATGTTTAAGGGACATGGACACAGTTGCATTGCAGTTTTGTTTACAATTTTAATTTCATATTTTTATTCAAAAAATAAGTTAAATTTAATGAAATAAACCTGCGGGAAATTTCTTACAATTCAATGACAGCGTTAAAGGGTTTCTTTGAAACATTACATCAAACGACTGTGTTTGTAAACAAGGACACATGCTCCATTTGTGCTATTTGCTATCTTTGTACACATCACTGAACACGAACTGACAACACTGGTGTGTTGGGTTTGCTCTCTCAGATTTCTATATGTCTCCTTGGTTAATATCTTTAATATCTTTTAGTTGGCCACATCTGTTTCATATTTAGATGTTAATTTTACTGACTATGGAAGGTAAGGGCCAACCAACAACTAAACTGTATAACAAATGAGAGGACTTCAGCTTTTCCATCGTTAACTTACTTATTAATGTAATAATATTCCGCTATCATCTGCATATGGTGTTTATGTCTCCCAACTTATTAGATATTCAAGAGTATGCTCTGATCAATTCTTAAACCGTGGAAGACTACCGATAGATAAGCTGATGTTACAGGGATTACAACAACCAAGCTTAAAGTTCAGCATTTCGTAAATTTTAGCAAATATATCCTATAATTGGGTCGTATTTCTTACCAATTGTTAGGCCTTTGATTTTATGCTAAACAGGTCGAGACCACTAGATTTTCTGACGTCGAAATTTTTAAAAGATATACTTGCCTGATTTATTTGAAAATACAAAATTAAAGCTACCCTGCGCTAGCTTTCGTACATCTACAAATCAGATTTTTCTATTCAGATTTTTTCAGAAATAGTTGACAAATGAATGGCCATGGATACCTGATTTTTTCCCCATGATTATATAATTACTCTAAACAGATATATCTATTATTTAACTAAATACTTAGATAATTACATCCTAGGGGGACCTGACAATAGCGCCAAAGGTATAAGAAGAGTTCTGTTCATACTAAAACTTGTTTCTGGAACCTCAACTTCACCTCTAAACAAGAACATTAAAGCTTACATAAAGGTCATAAACCAAATAATCCTAGAGTTCACTAGCTTGTAAAGATGTGGTCAGTCTGAAAAAAAAAATTACCTAAAGTAATTGTTACCAAGGGAAGACGTCTTCCGATTCTAATCAAAATAGAGAAATAAAAATGTCCAAAGGGAGCAAAAGACTGGAAATCATAAGCCAATCTACTTAAATAATACACTTCCTAAAGCTGACTAAGCATTAAAGACGAGTTTTTGAGAAAAGATGGAATAATAAAACTAATTAACATTCAGTTCTACAACTAGCCCTCTTCTTCTTCTTTAAGTTTTCTTCATTCTCTTCATATATACAAAAAAAACTCAGTGACCTCTAGAACCATTAGCTGTAGCAACGAATTTAGGGAAGATTTGTGTTCTTAATGAATTGGTTAGTTACTGTTTGCTCGCAAAACGATGGACAGTTAAGCATATTCATGATCAAGTAAAAGGAGGTAGACTTTTGTATAAACATTCTTCCAAACCAAAGACCCTTCAGAGCAGAACACATGTTGAGATAGGACAACGGAATAGGTATATATTAATTTCACAAAAATTTCCAAGTTACTAACTGATACATGTAGTTTGTTGCTAATTGTAGAACTTACATGAATGCACGTGCGACAACTCTGAATCGTCCGATCGTGATCGTGAAACTAAAAATGCACAAGATTTGACTGTTTTAACAAAAAGAAAATCTCCTACCATATATGTTACATACACTTCTAACAAGTTCTTTATTAATAATTTTCCACTAAATCATCATTAATCTATCAACATATACAGAAGAATTGTCAATGAATAACTTTAAACCTGAAAGCCTGCATAAACGATTTTACGATTTAAGTAAAATGGACTTTTTAAATACTCACATTTTCTAGTTGGAAGTTTTATAGCTGGAGGATTACTGTATGTGGCCGTCAGCTGTTTTTTCTGTGAGTACAAATTTTCTCTTTCTACAAATATTCATCATCAAATATTGTATTTTGTATAAACTTAAAGGAGGGGGGGGGGGGATAATACATCAAAGCCTTTTAATTAATGCATCTTTCATTCTATTTTCGTAATAACAATAGGAAAAAGTTTATTTATATATGTGAAGATTCTCTCCCTTACCATCATAAAGTTGGTTTGTTATATTCCTGCTGAATGGTTTTGGAGGAACAATTGGTGTGTCAGCTTTAAATAAATGAAAGAACAAATAATTTACATGTATTTAGTGGGTGTCTTCTGTCATGGTCCGTTATTGAATATGCTTTTTATCCAACAAGTCGTGCTTCCTACCTCCGAGCCTTCGGCAAGGAGATAAAATACACCAAACTATTTAATAAAAATTATAATAAACCATCGGAATTTTTATATCGCATTCACCAAATTTTAATGGCTTTAACTCCTTTTTTCGCTTTTCCATCGACTGTCTAATTATGCTGCATAACGTTTTTTAAGCATCATCTGTTTCTTCAATGATTTTATTTCATTATTTATATGAATTTTACCTTAATCTTCCATGCTTACAAATGCATGGCATATGTGCATTGGAATACAAAAAAATTCATTCAATAACAAACATTAAAGGGGTAAACCTGATAAAATTGCCAATATAATAACATTTTGACTAATTTTAAAGAATGTATTAAAGTTGAAATGTATTCCTTAGAGTTTTTTATTGTTCGACTGATTTTTGTTATCTTTAAGTTCTTGGATTTTGCAGCCTTTTGTTTACTCACATTTTAAAAGCAAGGATTCCTTTACACAAGGGTTCCCGTCCACCGTCACTGTTCTCGACACTAAAAATATAGTTTTTAAAAGTTTATTACGAATATTCGTCAAAGTAAATTAAATCTGATTCACTGAATTTGACGAAAAGCACTCTTCAGAAAGATGTCTAATATCGAGGTTAATATATTTTTATAAGTCCCATGCAGGCAACAAAACTGTTTTCTTTTTACCCTTGCCAGAACTTGTGCAATACCTTTCTTTGGTAACAGTGGCGGTCTCTGTTCATTTCCGTATGTGGGCTCTTCTGTTGTTTTTGTTTCCGATTTGTTTGCTTCTGAATTTGAAAAAAAAATGCTATAATGTAATGCATTTAAAATGCCATAACATATTATACTTACAAGTATCTGAGTACAATTTGTTTTGTTTTTGTTTTTGTTTTTGTTTTGTTTGTTTTTTTTTTTTTGTTTTTTTTTTGTTTTGGTTTTTTTGTTTTGGCAAAGGAAAACAGTATTGAAAAGATCTGATACTGTTAAAATTGCTTCATTACACATGACCGTTATAAACTTAGTTATTCTTCGATCAAACATGATGTCGTCAATATATCATTCTTTACTTTTTTTAAATACGTGAAGTAAGAAAAAATCTAACAAGTACCGACATATAGAACTTTAAGAATACCAAAAATCTTGCTTAAAAGTACCTTTACCTGCATATAGCTGATTCGTAATATTTGTTTTTAAAGGGCGACAAGGTTGGGCTGAAATAAGATCATGAAAATAAATTTAAAAATTTCTAACTCTAACTCTCGAGCTGAATAAGCAACATTACAACAAAACGTATTTACAACTTCTTTTCAACGAATTGCAAAAAATGGCATAAACACGCAATTTATATCAGTACTGAAAATGGTTACCATATTCATTGTCATTGTCTTTATCGTTTTTTTCTAAAACTGACTGAAGGTCTTCCACTAATGTCTTTGAATCTGAGCAAAAGATAACAAGACGACATGAGTTTTCATAATTCTATAATCTAGATTATAGAATAATTAATCGTTTGCAATGTCCTTGGTAAATTATAAAATAATAATTTGTTTAAGCTGAGCTTGTGCAATAGTGAATACTATTTGAAGAGTGTTGAGTCAATAATTTTTCGAAGTTTGAGTTTCTTCGGACCATTAATATATTTTCCAAATACGTGTTCCTCCTTTGTCCAAACTCAATTGTAAGACTTCATTAAAAGTAAAGTGAATAATTCTACTTATATTTACTAATGTGAACAAAAACTAAATGTCACAAGGTCAAAGTTAAGAGGCATGTCTAATAACAGACAGGACATATAACTGTGAGTTTAATGTTGCAAGGGAAAAATAATGGTAAGTTGAATATCAGTAATTTTCTTTCTAAAACTGAACTATTATGCATTGTAATTATAAATTATTACTTTTTTCTAATTGTTAACTATTAACATTTTGATCGATGTTTTAGTAAAGTATTAACATAACCCCATCCTATATAGCTTGCATGTTAAAATGACACTGCATTTCTTGAGAAAGGGATATTTTACCTATTCCCATTATAAAAATGTGACCTACAAATGTCGCCTAAACCTAGCCTTGGGGATCATGATTTTATCAAACTTGAGTTCATATACTTTCGGGATCCTTTCATATCAGTATGATAAATTCTCGTCCAACCAAAATGTTGAGAACCATTTGCTTGATATAGTCCTCAAACTTATACACAAGTTGGGCTTTGGCAAGGTACTTTTCTTGAATCAGGTTACAGTGTCAAAGCTCACGATACTGACTGCTGTACCCAAGTCTAATCGTTTTCAGTCAATGTGTTTAGGATTAATGCTTCATTGTCATTCAACTTTGTAGACACTTTGCAAGTGGTCTTAAGAAATGATTGTTAAGAATTTTCTCATGATACATGTAAAATCCAAAACTATATGAAAAGGTTGGTAAATATAATTTTATTACCACTATAGTAATTTTCAATTTGACGGACTGCATATTTCTTCTTCATGTAAATTTCACAACAAACGTTTCCCGATTATGATTTACCCAAATTCTTAGAAATATAAATGACGACCTTATTTATCTATCTTGTAAAATAGACTGCGTATATCAGCTATTGTATCTTACTTCTCCCCTGACCCTTAATAGTGTAACTTTATATTTGAAACTCGTCTTCACAACAAGAGTTCAAAAATTAATTTAAAAGTAAACCGAGTTCTTAGACTCGTTTTAATAGTATAAATAATAGATACCTTTTCTTGGCAACACTGGGAATTTTCCTGCATTACTATATGTTGGTTCCAGAGGTTTCTTGTCTCTTGGTTTATTGGCTTCTACATGAACATCACAATGCTTTTACTTCATTTCTTTTTAAGATTACAAATGCGTAAAATACTCAAACAAGTTTTTTTAAACAAAACATTATTGGATATAGGTGGAATAAAAACATTTCAAATCTTTCGTAACTTTTAAATATGTTAGAAACTTCTAAATACATCAAAAGATATTGGTTAGGGAGTGCAAATATATAATTACATGTATTACCTTCGTATAATTCATTTATCATCATCATATCTGGTCTAAACTTTATCGAAGGTTGTAAATACCCCATTGTATCTGAAAATATAATATAATATTTCTAATGGTATACCGGTACTGGTTTCTTGCTCAAAACATTGTATTTTTTACTGTGTAAGAAAAGCATCATCAAAAATGGTCAGGAATTCTAGTATCCGTAAAATCTATAACTGAACTTTAAAGTATTAATATACAATCTAACTTCATTGAATAAGAAAGAATAAGTTATTTGGGTACTTCTGTGTTTGTGGAATCTGTCCACTTGCAAAGGAACAGAATTATGGCATTATATAGTTTTTAAGATACATATACGATACTCTGAAATATATACAAATCTGAGTTACCCTTGGTACTCTCTTGTGTCTGAGCTCGTCCAGAAGTGGGCGATTCAGTGTTCGAAAAAATCTCTGGAGCCTTGTAAATAGGAGTTTCTAGAAAGAAATTGGCAATATGTACATTTTATCAAAGGATCCAAAATTTTAAAAGAGTCTAATTCGATGTACTTGTACAATCAAATTGGCGCTAACTTCATTTATCAATGTTTAAATTTGCAAATGTTTTCCCTTATATAACACTATTTGAACAAGGCGTTTTTACACCTGTGTAAAACAAGTTCGTCATGTGACCTTTAAACTAATTGTTAGTCATAAACGATCTACGTAATTTCATAGTGACGTCATAAGTGATCGAGGTGTTCAACACATTCAATTTATACCGTTGAGTTTTGAAAAAATAAATCATTTATGGGCTTAAAACTTCAGTACCTTACCCTTTGTAATAAATCAGTCACAAATGTAAATATAGGTAATAAGGTTTCATTTTAAGTGTTCTATCGGGATGTAAATACGGGTTGGCATGTGATCAAATCTACCATAAAGCCCTCCGTTTTATGGGATTTGATCACATGACCAACCCGTATTTACATCTCGATAAAACTTATAAAACGATACCTTATTTCTTAATTATCTTAATTTTCGTCGAACTAAATCAAACAGACTTGAGTTCATTTGGCTTTTTAAGGTAGTACACAACAGGTAGACCAAATGTTTGATATTTCCTCAAATTCATATTTTTGAAACTTAAAAATTTTAAATTTAAAAATGTTTAGACAGAAAATCTCTTTTTCTGTATAACATGAAAAAAATTCCACCAACATACCCATATATAATAAATTATGAAATATAACCTATCAGACCACTATAAGAAGAGAATGAAATCAGACATTCGACATTAGAATGTGCTTAGTTTTAAAAATTATCATTTGATATACATATTACTAATGTGTATGATGTTGTTTGTAAATGTTACCTTTTTGTTATTAAAATTCAGTAAAATTTATTGATACCGGTATAGTTAAATACATCGTGATGTAAAAATAGCACATGTAAGATCGAGAATTTAAATTTCACATGCAAGTATTATACACTTTAAGATATTTTTAAAGAAAATTGTGATTCAAACTTTCGAAATAAAATCAACAGAATGATTGAAATGAAACAAAGATTAAAATGTGTCATAATGAGAAAAACTGATCCAGAGGTTTCAAATATTTTGGAGATTTCAAAAAAAAAAAATTCAAGGCCAAAAAAAAATATTGAATGAACCAGATGAGTCCTAAATATGACCTTGGCCATTCTTGTACATCAAGAATGGAGACTCCTAAAACATATTTCCAAATATTACGTCTTTTGTATGAAGGAATCAAAAGTTACACTTTATCTAATACCAGAAGGTTATATCGCATGTAGATGACATTAATACATCTTAAATGTAGACTCGCGAATGTCCAATTTTTTGGATATCTCCAATCTTTTTCCAGAATTGGTCAAATACATATAATAGTTCATTTTTTTAAAAAAATGATTGATTAGTGAGTGTATTCTTTTTTCTGTTGCCTTATGTTTTAGAAGAGATGAGCTGAACCTGATTTCTCGGGTGATTTGTACATGTACCACCTTAAACATACACATCCTACTTCTTAGACTATTACCTTCTGGAATAGGTTGAATGTACTGGTGAGCTGACGTTTTACGACTTTCGTCATTTAGCTCGCAATATGCATTAGTCGCAACGGACTCCACTTCATCGTACAGATGTGTAGAGACACCCAAGGAACTGTGAGGTCTGTTTCTCCTTTGTAATTAGAAAATTATATTTAATATAACATTTGGCACCTCCGACTCAACTGCTATTTTTTTAAATCCAACCAGGCCCCAAGACCATAAACTGAGAACAGACTTAAGTCAAAATTTTGATTTTTAATATCTTGAGTTTTATTTCATGCATTTGCTTACAAATTTGCAATTTCGTATAACATTTTAAATTCAAACAAATAATGAATATTTTGTTTGATTATCAAAATTATTTCAAAAGTTATATTGGTTTGAAATTTTGACTTAAGTCTGTTCTCAGTTTATGGTCTTGGAGCCAGGTCTCTTAAAAACAGAAAAATGTATCGACCTGCTAACAAACTGTTGTAATTTTTAATACTAATTACCGACTTTAAATAAGTGCAACATTCTACTACAAACTTTATGAATAAAATATTAATTTCGGATATTTACCGTTTATGCGGCTTTTTGTCTGGAACCACATATGAAAAAATTGAAATGAATGGATATTTAGATACTGGAATGATATAAGCATTTAAATGAAATCTTCGAATCTTTCAATTTCAAATTTATAATACTGACGAATAGAGACTTGTATTTATTTAACTCACTCTTTGAATTCTTTTTTCTACAGAACATCAATATGCAGACGGTAAGGCAAATAAAGACGGCTACAAACGTTCCTGCCACGGCAATGACTATAACCGTCGTAAATGGGAGTTCTTGATCATCTCTTTCAATGTCTGAAAGATCACATAATTTAATAAACATTGTGCCTGATATATAACTTCCAAAATGGTGACTTATTGCCACTGATCGTTCCCCCTTTTTTTTCTTGTTTCTACCTGTATGGTGTGTATTTACCTTGACCTTGTTGTAGGTAGAGGTCTAAAATGGGCTTTGCCTCGTGCCCAATCCCAGTCACTTTTTGTGAATAAAACTATGCAGAAAATAAAATTCATCTGCTTCATATTTGGATGCTTTACCGACTATAGACGACAAAACCAAATAACAACTAAATTGTACGACAAAAGAGATTACTTCAGCTTTTCCATCGTCAACTTTTTCCTTTTTTACCAGCATATGGTGTTTATGTCTCCCAACTTATTTGCTACTCCAGAGCATGCTCTGAGTACGATCAGTTTTTAAACCAAAGCAGGTTACTCACACATAAGTTGATGTTACAGGGGTTTCAACAACCTCGTTTAAAGTCAGCATTCCGTAAATTTCATGGTCGTTATAATGACCTTACAAACAAAGAAACATTGTAACTTATCACTGGGTCGTATTTTGGCTGACATGTTTCCTACCAATTGTTAGATTTTTTTATACTAAATTTGACTAAAAATGTTCCGTCTAATTGAACAATACATAGGGCTCACGGTTCGCTATCTTCAACCTTTGCTTCATTTTCTCTGTAAAATAAGTCGTTTTGAACTCTGTAAGTGATGTTTTTTTCTTTATGTTATGCGTGGTTTTAATGTATAAATTAAGCGGTTGGTGGGCGCCGATTTGCCATTAGAAAAATAGCAGTTTATCTGGCACATTCTTAATTCAAAGTCACGAACAGTTTAATGCATCATTTTCATTGGGAGACTTAAACTTCTTTTAGTGCCTGAATTGCCAACTAAAAAGACCATTCAACATTTTTACAAATGGACCACCATTTCGTTGTAATTTAAACTGGCAATATCTACTTCTTATTTACTTTATAATTTCAAAATAAGATTTTCTACTTAAGTAAATTTAAGTAAATTTCTCGGTCATTTTTTTTAAATCAAGTTATAAATTAAAAGCATGACTTTACAAAAAGAAACCTAATTATTCTAAGGAATCACTAGTACATTGTGTTATCTCTGTGGCTTACACTTTGTATTTTTTACTAAATTTCATTTGTCCACAATCATAACATTTGTCACTGACTTTCTCAAGTAGATGGCCCTTAAATTCAGGTCATGTATGAATCATATACTTGACACTTTATGCCAGTAAATTCATTCATAATGTTTTAAAATAGTTTGCTTGCTTTACTTCGTGTATGATTTGTGAAGAAGTAAGTTTAATTAAAAGAAAACAATTTAAAAATGAAACAGTTATTACAAAAGGAATATAATTCCACTTAATTAAAGATCATTCAATTCAATGTCATAGAGAATATAGATATCAAAGATAGACATTGGTTTAATTACCTGAATAAGAACAAATATATTATAGTACTAATGCATTGAATGAATCGAAAAAGAACAAATTTAGAAATCTTCGACAAGCTAAGGATACATGACCATTTACTAGTATTACAAGTTTAAGTGAGAAAAGATTTTCTTATCATACTAGTATTGAAATGATAGAGAAAAGTGAAAGAATATAAATATCCATACTACAAGCAAGTTTATCATAAGCTATATCTAGTTCGATAGCTTTATTGAAAGAAGTAATTTTTCATTCTTTTTATCTATAATTATTACCTTCAAAGGTTGTAGTTTTAGGTATCGCTTTGTCAGCTGAGAGAGAAATTAATTGTTTCTACTTACAAATGCTTACTCCTTATTTTCAGTTTCATTTTTTAACTTAAAATCATTATGAATATTTTTCTGATGACTTAAATACTTTGATTAACATCTCTTTTTATAAGAACAAAATTTACCTGTATAAGTCGTTGGCACGGTAAAATTTATTACAAACTGATCGTACGGGTTTCTTTGAGAATCGTAAGATTTTAAAATAAGTTGATAGAATCCATAGTCTTTGAATTGGTCTGGTCTCTGGATCACCAATGTCACTGTATAATTACATTGTGATTTACAGTTTTCGGGATAAACGCTTTTCGCACCTGTGTATTTATTTTTGTCGGTGTTCCAGTCTGTAATTCTCTGAATGAAAAATGAAACATTTATAAAGAAATACTTTTATAGCCCCTTTCTGCATTAATTATATGAACACAAGGTGTATTTTATACTTACATAGAGTACGGTTGTAAATTTTTCAGGTTATAAAGGGTTTTTTGTGTTGTAATTAGACTTTGCTTGGAAAAAAATACTTCCACACATGTAGAATGCTTTCTATGCAGCATGTGCGTGCAACACTTACCATTGCAGTATTGTTTTTGAATATCACCCATTGATCTTTCACGTCATATTCGGATTGAACAGTGGCTGACACCTCGCATGATAGGGCAGAACATTTGGCCATTGGTGGTCGAATGTTGGTGATTGTGTTTGTACCGGCTGTAACTTCTACAAAAAAATAATAATATACATGTATGAAAAAATAGAACAATACTAAAGATACTATGAGCGCTGAACTCACAAAATGATACCCCCGCTGCAATATCAGTTTAATGGCAAAGTCCATTTTTTGCCATGGAAAACCCCAAATAACTGTCCGACTAAAACATAAAATAGGAGGTGCAAAATGACACTCCCTAATAAAGATTCTTTAAAAGTCTCACTGAATTTTATTCAGGAGTATAGAAGAAGTTGCAAATAAGAAATGGGTACTCCCCACATTATGGAAAGAATGACAGTGTCTATTTTTTTGCTATTGTATACCCCAAATATCTGTCCGATCAGAACATGCAAAAGAAGGTCATAATGGTACATGTTCTATATAATAAAGATTCTGTGAAAGTGTCATTGACTTTTACTAAGTGGTATAGGAGGAGTTGCGGATAAGTGATGGGTACATCCAATATCATAGAAAGAATGACATGCAGTGTCCGTGTTTTGTTATGGGAAAACCCAATTATTAGAACATAAAAAAGAAGGTGCACAATGGGATTAAGTAATGAAGATTCTGTGAGAGTCTCATAAAATTTTATTTAGTGGATTATAGTAAGTTGCAGATAAGAGATAGGTACTCCCAAATGTTATAAAAAGAATGGCTGTGTCCGTGTTTTGCTATGGTAAATCTCGGATAACTGTCAGATTAACGTAAAATAGGAGGGCCACAATGGGACTATGTTATAAAGATTCTATGAGAGTCTCATTAAATTTTATTTAGTGGTACAGGAGGAGTTGCAGATTAGAGATGCATATTCTTAAATGCTTCGGACGGAAGGACGCACGGACGGAAGACGGACATCCCGATTACTATATACCCCCGCTTTTCAAGCGGCGTTTATAAAAATGATATATTTTACTTTGATCATAACTGAAAGCATATTAGTATTTGGTACATAGGGCACTTAACAAAATTGAGATTTGTAATATTCAATATGTAAATTTGTCTCTGTTGAATGAAGAAATCGGCATACTAAACTACATGTACATATATAGTAAAATGTATGAGTATAAGTTTCATGGATGGCAAAAAACACCATACATGTATTTATAGATTGAGGCAGATTAGTCTATCTCACATTATGCATCTAGATCAAAGGTGCTGAATAGAGAGAACCGAATGGAATTTTGATTTTTTAAAAAAAACAATTCAATTCACATATTTTAAAATGGTACAATTTTGCTATCAGGTTGTTCGTCTGTGTCATAAAATTCCTCAATAAAGTCTTATAAGTTTTTTTTATATATATTCTGACCTAAAGAGAGCTTTTGGGCAAAAAAAAAGGTTTCATTTAAATCTCGACTTTCCGATATTGATGCATGTATGTACATGTAATTAGTATACTCCGTCAATTTTTCTTGTGATTCTTATCGTTGCATCAATCATTTTAAAGTATTGACATAGTTACATAAGATTTTAAGCCTTGAATATTTCAAACGTTTGTTTATTTAAAAATATGCCTTGTGACTTTCAGAGCTTTATCAGTCTCGAACATCATTTTTGTTTATCAACAGAACATATTAGGCATGGCTGAAAGGTGTATCCGTCGATCGGATGTACAGTACTCATCCCTAGTCATCCCAGTACACGTGTACTTACATGTAGCAGTTACACTCAGCCGATTTGTGACTTGTGCTTGAGATCCTTGTGCATCTAGATTTTTTTTAATCTTTCTTTACAAGATTTTTTATATCAAAGATAATATATTGTTATTGGTTGATTGGATACAAGCACAATTCAGGATATAAAATTCAAAAATATGAAATACATTTCGGACTAGGCAGATATATGAAGATTAATATTGCGGTCATAAAATTTAACATGATAAACAGAAAGGTGCTCTTTCGTTAGGTTTTGATTATATTTTCCATAAATGTAAAATCCCAACTTTAATTATTAATCATACTATTAGGAAAAGATAATTATGTATACTTGTTTGAAGTGAAATCTGATGACCTTTCAGGAGAAATAAATCCTTATTAGTCATCGTTTTGTCTTTTGATTAGAAAACTTTCTTTAACTACTCTAGTTGTCTTTTACTGAACGAATCATAATGACCTTAAGGTCAAGTTACTCACCCGAGCGTGCGCCAACAGATATAACAACTATTGCAACTTGAAGTATGATCTGCAAAGATATTAAAAAAAACTAGGTTATTAGTAAGATAACTCGACATACTTTTTCTCATCTTTGTGACTCACAGACGAGAGGAAGTCATTGAACTCGGAGGACACTGTAGTTCTGCATTTAGGATTGAGTGTAGTAAGTACTGAAGCGTTAGTGGATTAGTATCCTTTGTTGTGTTTTGAATAAAAAAGTACAGGCCTGTTATACCTATTTTTCTGTGTATAGATACTGATTTTTGGTATAAACACTGTAATTATGGAACTTCTAACTTATCTGTAGAGCGTGCGTGAAGTATTTCTTTGATATCACTCCTTAATGTGCGATACCCTGAAATTAAATTATTGTGTCCTGATTCAGTTCTTAAAACAATTTTTTTTCTACAAATACCCTCTCTGAGACTTGAATTCTAAAATACGTTTGAAAGTACTAACATAATGAGAAAAATTAAACGCCTGTCTTTTTTCACATAAAAGGGATTTTTGAATCAGATGACCATTAATGATTATCACAACAATGATGGTTTGATGATGATGATGATAAAACATTGAACAATTTCCTATAACAATGACAATACACGACACTCACAGAGTATCATCTTATTAAGTCATATAAACCGAATGACTGTTTATTCACGCGTGCCTGTATTTTTATCATTGTCATTATGCAATATTTTATCAAAATACTCTTTCAGAGTTTAAATATTATAAATATCTATATATAAATATATTAATTCTTGAATTTTGATTTGAAGTTCTAACGACCTTCATTAAAATGTAACATGTATACATGTATATAGGGTCAATCTTGAAAATAAATGCAACGATTTAAAGTATGTCGAATTCATTTTATATATGTTTATCTTAGAATACATACTTTATGTATATGTACGTACTTGAATGACTTCTGAACAAATTCTAAAATTAATGTACTAAGTGTACTTATAATTACCCGTTTTTTAAACCCCTAATAAAATTCTAGTTTAAAAAGGTGGGATTTTATACCTGCCTTTATTCAAAAGATACTTGAAATAAGATGTGTTGATAAAAAATAATTTTCCTCAGTTTTGATTTTTTTATTATTATTATTTTTCTTTTTACATTTCATGTAATACAATGTACCTGCGTTATCACTGATGCTTTAATTAATTAATTAGTAATTTTTCTCCTACTTCATGAAAGTGGTAAATGTAATACCCGTAAGTCAAGTTAAAAATTTCTTCAAGGTCAACAAAGATCTTATTTTTATTTGTGCATGCATCTTATATTCCCTGATTAAATTATATCAGTATACATGTAGCTCTTCTCTATTTAAATTAAAACAGTTATCTCACCTTGAGCATCATTGTTTAAAATTCCGTTTACTACTTTTTGAAAAGACATACAAATATAAAGTGACCTTTATTTTCTTTTGTACTTTCCTTTATAAACTAACTCTGTCTGAGTGTGTTTAGGAAGTCACGTGGTTCCTTTTTAAAAGAGTGTATTTCCATTTTAAATAAGATAAGCTGTTACAGTCATTGTAAAGTTTATGTATATTTCTTTATATATAATTATAATGGTGGAAGGTGAATAGTTAAGTAGAAGTACTCGTATTCTGTTGTACTTGAGACGCTGCTCACGTTTGGTGGTAGCCGGTGTCAATCGATGCCTTCCTTGTAAACAAACCAGGTATGTCCCTGATGGTCAGCTGGCGACATCACTGTACCATCTGCAGCTGTATCCGCTTCCGAAAAAAGCGTTTATTTATTTTTCTTGTTGAATTGATGTCGTCAATAAAATCTCAGAGGAGTAGCCACATGTTTTGTTCTCAAATTTCCTTTCAAAACAATGTTCTATATATTTTATTTCAAATATCCTTTATGGGATAAAACAAATTAGAACTTGTCTTACACTTGCCAATATGCATATGTACATGGTAGCTAATTTTTGAGTTTCAGTTTTATGAATTCGTATACAATACAGAGAGAATATCCTATTACTTATTTCACGGATCATTCATCACAAATCCTTTTTTTTTCCCTTTAAAAAGTTATTTGGGCAAATCCTCAAATTTTCATAGAACAGTCAGTTTTTTTCTGCATTTCTCTAATACCACGGCATTATCGTTTTTTAGAACCAGAACTAAAGTTTAAGACTGTTTTATTGTAGCGGATTTTCAACACTTTTAGTTTAATTGTATAAAAGAACAAGAGTTATGCACTATAACCAATCGCAATTGTCTGTTAAAAAACTTTTCTTTAAACAGTTTAAAATTTTACACAAAGTTAAAATTGTACGTTGTTGCTTTGTCTGGAGAAAATGCATACTAGTACTTTATTCAATAAGTGAAAAAAAATTCTGAGATTTTGTTCCAACCACAGTGTTGTCAGAGATGTGAAATAATAAATTTACTCTTTACAAGTGCACCAAACCAATTGTTAACTAGATAAATTTTGAACGCACCGTCATAGAAAATTATATTTTTCCTTTTCAAAAGTTGTTTAAGACGTATCTGATATATAAACATGTAACTAATTAAAAGTAAGATGGTTAAATGCCCAATCAGGTAATAAACTATATGCTGTCATAAGACAGTATTGTGACATTTTTCCTCTAATTGTGCGATAGCTTCCTTGTACCTAGGAGGCGAAGAAGCCACAAAAGTTATTCTATTATTAAAATAAATTATATATACATTTTTCAAACTGAGCATAAAATAGACAGGTGAGCATATGACCATGGGCCTCTTATATAAGTATTTCAAATAAATGCATTATCGGTCTGAAATTAAAGACTGTAATGTAGACAATTCTGATTTTAAAAGACGAAGTTTAAAAAAAAAATGGAGGGGTTTTCTGTAAAATAAAATCGGTCCAAATTAGAACTTTAAACGTCAATTGTCGATCCCCATCTAGCCCCAAGGGTGAAAAGGAAAATTCCAAAACCTTATTGCACATCTGCAGGACATCTCCAAACATCTTGCAAAAGATGAAATAGCTTCTGCATAAAATGTCAGAGATGTTCAGGGAACCATGTTTTATAAAATAAAAAAAAGTTTTTCGACCCCCATTTGGACCCCAAGAAAAAAAAATGAAAATTCCAAAACCTTATTGCACATCTGCAGATCGAACACTCCCAATCATCTTGCAAAAAATGAAATGGCTACTGTAGAAAATGTATGAGGAGTTCAGAGAACTCGTTTTTTTAGAAAGACGTCATCTTTTGATCCCCAAATTGACCCAAGAGTGAAAATCGAAACTCAGAAACCTTATTGCACATATTCAGGATACTCTTAATCATTATTCCGAAATATGAAAAGGCTACTGCAAAAAATGTAAGATGAGTTCAGGGAACCAGGTTTTTGAAGAAAATTAGCATTTTTTAACCCCCATTTGGCCCCAGGGTGAAAATGAAAATTTCAAAATCTTTTTTGAAAATTTTCAAGGCACTCCCAACCACATTCCTAACGATGAGTTGACTGCTGCTTGAAATGTAAGAGTAGTTTGAGGAAGAAAATAGCGTGACAGACGGACAGACCAGGATAACAACAAAATTAAAGAACTCTCTTTAGAAAGTGTGGGTATAATAAATGAAAACTGAAGAGTAATCATTTCATAGTAATACATGAAAATCGTGTTTGCACCGTAGAGGAATATATTTCAATTTTCGTCTTTGAAATTGCATTCTTTATGTTTGTATTCATTAAAAACTCGGAAAAATAACTGGGCATGCAGAGTTTGGCCATAGAAGAGTGTGGTAGGACAGTTGGTAAGGTGTCTATAACGTGTTCCTTTGGAGAAGTTTGTGTAAAAATAACACAATTCAAAAACTGTTTTTATTGGTCTAAAAGTACTTTGACTAGATTAAGGAATATAAAAATGTCTTCTGTTGGTAAAAACGACAATTACATGTTATAGACACCACACGACTATTGCTAGATTACCGTAAACTTGTGGTAACCGGGAGTATCTGTGAAGGACTGGGTATAATTGATGCCAAACCACTAAGTGACTACTTGGCGACATGTTATAGACATTTTATTTCATATCGTTTCAGAGACGGTCGCTATTGTTATAACATTGCAACCTCTCTGACTACCCTCGTTAACCACCAATCTTATGTCAGTACACAAAATGTGTGCAATCGGCTTCGGGAAATTAGTTTGCTCGCAAGAGGGTCATTTAAAGGTGTTGTGTTGAAATAAAGACATCGGCAAATTGGACTGCAGTAGGCAAGACGGCATGTTTAAACTAACTCGTGTCGATGAGGCAGATGTCTAATTTGCAGATGAAAATACTGACTGGTACGTAAGAAATTTTGTCTAGTGTATTCTAAATATATGTATTCTTATTTTTATAAATATGACTGTCACAAAGAGAACTAAATGCTATCATAAAACACGAAGATCCACATGTGTACTCTTTTTGGTATCCGAGTAACTAGCGATTACAATACAGATATTCTATGATTTACGTAAATATGTTGTAAAGCATGTGTCCCATGGGCCTCTTATGTTCTATATGTAGTTCATATTATAAATTCATTATCTGTTATTTAAGACATTAATGAGTTTCGGAAAGAAGGTTTCTGTGTAAACCAAGAAAAAGGAGAGGGCAGTTTAACTTGGCGACCTCCAACTGGCCTCTAGGATGGAATTTCGAAAACTTTACTGCACATCTACAGAACATACATATTCCAAAAATTCATTCAGACATAGTGAGGACTTCAGGGAACGTGGTTTTTGTAGAAAAACGTTGTTTTTCGGCCTCCATTCAGTCTATAATATGAAGATGAAAATTTCGAAAGTTTTTTGCACATCTTTTCAGAACACCATTATATTCCAAGGGATGATTTGGCTATTGCGTAAAAGGATAAAGGAGATCTTTTTCGCCTCCCCCAAAGCTCCCCCCCCCGCCCTTCCCCCTTACATGAAAATGAAAATTCCAAAACCTTAATGCACATCTATAGCACACCGTCAATCATATTCCTATAGATATTTGGATGTTTTTACAGAGCCAACAAACAACTAAATTGTATGACAAACGACATGACTTCAGCTTTTCCATCGTCAACTTTCCTTATTGTCCCTCGCTTTCGCGAAAACGAGGGGACATTAAATCTCATTCGTCTGTCCGTCTGTCAGTCTGTCCATTTGTCTCAAAAACTTAAACCTAGATCATAACTTTTGAATAAGAAGAGATGATATCATATTTCACAAGAACTTTACCTGTGACAAGACCTTTCCAAACATACTGTAGTTTTTGACCCCGTGACCTTGACCTTGAAGTTCGACCTACTTTTCAAAAATTTTAACATTACTTTAAATTGGTCATAACTTTTGAAAGAGAAAAGATAGGGCTTTCATACTACACATGTATATTATCTGTGACAAGACCTTGTTCAATATTATGATTTTTGACCCATGACCTTGACCTTGAAGTTTGACCTACTTTTCAAAAATGTTTTCTTTCCTTATAAATTTTGATTGAGAAGAGACAGGGCTTTTATATTTGACATGTGCATCATCCGTGACAAGATGTTTCCGAGCATAGTATGATTTTTGACTCCTTGACCTAGACCTTCATATATGACCTAATTTTCAAAAAAATTAACTTTAATGATTACTTTATAAATGACGTATGATAGGGAGTTCATATTTGACACAATATGCCATAAATAATGGCATTCCATCCACTAAGACACCGAAAGGAGGGGACCACAATTCTTTGAATTTGCTTATTTATGTAGTAAAATTCCGCTATCTCCTACATATGGTGTTTATGCCTCCCATATTATTCGATACTTAGAGCATGTTCTGAATACGATCAATTTTTAAACCGAGGCAAGCTACTACATGTAACAGATAAGTTGATGTTACAAATAGGATTTCACCAACATCGTTTAAAATCAGAATTTAGTAAATTTTATGGTCGTTATAATAATCTTGTTAACAAATTTAACTTATCATTGGGTGTTATTTTGGCCGATGTGTTTCATACCAATTGTTAGGCCCTTGTTTTTATACTAAATTTGACTAAGGAATGTTCGGTCAACCTGATCAATACCTAGGGCACACGGTGTGTGTGACAGGTTAACAGGGGGCGCTTACTCCTCCTAGACACCTTATCCCACCTCTGGAATTTCCAGGGGTCCGTGTTTTATGACCTGTTGACAGATTTGTAAATTTTTGTAGATTTTTTCAGATCGATCACTGTTCCTTATTTTCACCTTTTTTCATGATTTGGTTATTGTGTGAAATGTAGAAGGAGCTCAGAGAACATGGTTTTTGCAAAAAGCGTTTCTCCGTCTTCAATATAGGCATCTCATAGAAAATGAAAATTCTTAAACCTAATTGCACATACGTAGGACACCTACAATC